CATTGGTCCAGAAACTGAATACATAATATCGAGAGTAACCGGAGGTTGACACTATTTCTATGCCTTCGTCTCGTCGAGATAACGAATGATGAAAGGATCGAATTGTACGGTAACCATATCGTTGACAGGTAGCTACTTTGCTGAATCCGAATCTATCGGGTGGCCATGATGCCTTGTTAAGGGCCAATCTTGGTCTGTGTATTAATGAGACGATTAATTGGTGTTAATCGCGATATTATACACTGCCGGTATGATGAGAAGCCTATGTGTCACACACATAGAAGATAATTTAAGAGCCAAGAACAAAGAAGGGCGTTTTCGTCTTTTTAGGCGAAATGGTATTTTGGTAATTTTACAGTGCAATTAAATTTGCTGAGGTTGTAGCCTTTATTTAATTTATTAGAAAAATTAAATAAGTAAAATTACGTTTAAATATATGTTTGCATATATTTAAATAAATTATCATTATTGTTAAATGTTAATATATATATATTAAATATATATTAATTGATTTTAATTGAAGATAATGATGAATTAAAATAAATATCTAATTAGGGGGGTGTTTGGAAACATGGGGTGTTTGGGTTGGAGCCCAAGCCCATTCCATATGAGAATAGGGCAAGTAATATAACACTATAAAAGAAAAGGTGTTAATTGAAAAATGTTAATAGTTTTCATTCATTCACTATTCATTGAAAAGTGAAAAACCCTAAAGCCCCATTTTCTCTCCCATGCCAGATTTGGTTTAGCCAAAATCAAATACTCATTTTCTTCTTTGTTTCTTAGGGCTAAGGAGGATCTAGCAAATCCCTCCTTAGTTCCTTGCGATTATCTTCGTGTGGACTACGTCGGTTCGATCCTACACTTGGGTCGGTAGCAAAACGTTCAAGGACAAAGTTAGAGGAGCCTCCAAACGTGCGTAAGATTATTGAACTTTGAATCTGATTTTCTGCAGATTTAATTTATATATTATATAAACTGTGATATTATACCCAGATCTTGGTTCTAAGGAACGATCCATGCCATTTATGTTTTTGCTTTCCGTTGTGTAAGTGGGTCGTTCACTAACACTGCTTATCCTGGAACAACCAAAATGTATCAAGATTTATAAAAGGGCTATTGGTGGCCAGGTATGAAGAGGGATATCAGAGATTTTGTAGCTAAGTGCTTGGTTTGTCAACAAGTGAAAGTAAAACATCAAAGGCCGTCAGGATTGCTTCAGCCACTTAGCATTCCTGAATGGAAATGGGAGAGTATATCAATGGATTTTATCACCGGTCTCCCAAGAGTTCAAAAAGGATTTAATGCCATTTGGGTGATAATTGATAGATTAACAAAATCAGCCCATTTTCTTCCAGTAAAGGAGAGTACTACCTTGGATCAATTGGCCCATATTTATATTAAAGAGATAGTTAGACTTCATGGGGTGCCCAAGACAATAGTGTCAGATAGAGATTCCAGATTTGTTTCAGCTTTCTGGACCAGTTTACAGAGGAACTTGCGTACCAGGTTGGCATTTAGTACATCCTATCATCCTCAGACAGATGGCCAAACTGAGAGAACGAATTAAGTACTTGAGGACATGTTGAGAGCATGTTGCATGGATTATAGAATGTCCTGGCATGAGATGTTACCCTTGGTGGAGTTTGCCTATAATAATAGCTATCAGTCTACAATTAAGATGGCTCTTTACGAGGCCTTGTATCGTAGACGGTGTAGATCTCCATTACATTGAGATGAGGTAGGAGAGAAAGATGTTTTACATATAGCTCTTGGGCCGAAAACAACACAGAAAATGATAGAAGATGTCAAGTTGATCAGAAGTAGAATGAAGCAAGCCCAAGATGACCCAAGATGGACAGAAAAGTTATGCAGATTTGAAAAGAAAAGATGTTGAGTTCGAAGTGGGTGATAAAGTGTTTCTATGAGTATCCCCCTATAAACCAGTAATGTGTTTTGGTGGCAAGGGAAAATTAGCACCGAGATACATTGGTCCATTTGAAGTTTTACAACGAGTGGGAAAGGTAGCCTCTAGGTTGGCACTACCAGCGAGCATGGACAGGGTGCATAATGTTTTTCATGTCTCGATGCTACAAAAGTATGTCAACGATCCCTCCCATATACTAAAAATAGAAGAAGTGGATTTAGAGAAGAATCTCGTTTATGAGGAGTGTCTAGTACAGATGTTGGACAGAAAAGTTAAAGAGCTCCGAAATAAGAGTATCCCTTTAGTGAAAGTCCTATAGAGGAACCATAAAGTCGAAGAAGCTACATGGGAGGTAGAGCAAGATATGCCAATCACCATCGTAGATGAATACACCGCAGCAAGTTCACTAGACAGACCCACCAGAGGATTCCATATGGATGGTAACCCCAGTGTCTATGGAACAAATCCTCTAACGAATGGTGGTGCATGTGATCCTTAGACTTGAGATTACCGGAGCGCCTTGTGCACGATTGGTGCAGTTTGACACTAGCCTAACACAGTTCTATTCAGAGCTGTCAATACGATGGTGATTGGCTGCATTAAGAAGTGTATCAAGACTATGGTGGATAGACAGAGGATTCATCACTCCCAGGTACGAGAGAAGTTATCTCACGGCGCAATTCAGTATATGGCAATGACACTAAAACTGTGGCCACAGTGGGATTGAGTTGTTGCTCTATCCAGTTTATAATAAGGTCATTGGTCCAGAAACTGAATACATAATATCGACAGTAACCGAAGGTTGACACTATTTCTATGCTTTCGTCTCGTCGAGATAACGGATGATGAAAGGATTGAATTGTACGGTAACCATATCGTTGACAGGTAGCTACTTTGTTAAATCCGAATCTATCGGGTGGCCATGATGCCTTGCTAGGGGCCAATCTTGGTCTGTGTATTAGTGAGACGATTAATTGGTTTTTATCACGATACTATATACTGCCGGTATGATGAGGAGCCTATGGGAGAAGATAATTTAGGACTCAGGAAGAAAGAAAGACGTTTTCGTCTTTTTAGGCGAAAAGGTATTTTGGTAATTTCACAGTGCAATTAAATTTTCTGAGGTCGTAGCCTTTATTTAATTTATTATAAAAATTAAATAAGTAAAATTACGTTTAAATATGTGTTCGCATATATTTAATTAAATCATCATTATTGTTAAATGTTAATATATAGATTAAATATATATTAATTGATTTTAATTGAGATAATGATGAAATAAAAATAAATACCTAATTGAGAGTGTTTGGTAACATGGGGTGTTTGGGTTAGAGCCCAAGCCTATTCCATATAGGAATAGGGCAACTTAATTTACTATACAAGAAAATGGTTATTTGTAAAATGTGTGTGATTTTCATTAGTTTATTTTTGATTGTGAAAAAGAGAAACACAGCAGCCCCATTTCCTCTCCCACGGCAGTATTCCATTTTGCCCAAAATCAATTCATTTGATTTTTCTTCTTTAATCTTAAAGCTAAGGAGGATCTAGCAAATCCCTCCTTTGTTCTTTATGATTGTCTTCGTGTGGACTACATGGGTTCGATCCTGCACTTGGGTCGGTAGCAAAAACGTTCATTGACAAATTTGGAGGAGCCTCCAAACGTGCGTATGTTTTTCTAAACTCATGATTAATTTCTGCAGATTTCTATTTTAACATAAACTATAAAATTGTACCTTTGATCTTGGCTCAATGGGAATGATCCTTATTATTATGATTTTGTTTTCCGCTGCGTATATGGACCATTTCCTAACAGGTGCGTGACTAGCCTTGCCAATATGTAGGGCAACCCTCCAGTCCCCTTATTCCGCCACCTCCAGCCATCCCTAGCCCACCAACCTTCCACAAACAACCTCCCTTGTCTTCCCCCATCCTCTGGAACCCAAACAAAGCCACTCCCCCAATGCCTGCCAACTGCTCGACAAAACGCCATAACCACCATAACAAAAAAACCAACAACATCTCCCCCAAATTCGTACAAATCAATCAAATTTCTCATCCAATTAAAAAAAAAGTTAAAAACATACCCTTTCTTCACCAGCATCCTCCTCCTTGCTTGAATTCTCGTCGGTGTCCTCCTCTTCAGAACCGTTTTCTGATTCTTTTCTCTATTCTTATGCCGCCGTCGTCTCCTTTTCCTCTGAACCACCTTCACTCATTGGATGATCCACCGAAGCGTCTTCTTCGACAACCTTTGAACTACCGTAGCCGTCGGAGTCTAAGATTTGAAGTGGGGTTTGGTTTTCCTCCTCTTTCTGAATATCAACCTTGATTTTGTGTAAGGAAGCTTTAGGATCGAATATTTGCTGGAATAAGGCACTTTCGTCGTTGAAAATGATAGAGAAATCAAAGGTGTTTGTCGGTCGTTTTTTGGGTATTTGGCTCGATTAAGCGATTTTGAAGGGTGGGGGTCGTTTTTTATTTTCAAAATCTAAACAAACTTTCGTTAATTATAATATTATCCACATATATTTAAATCCTTTCACTTTAACCTATTTTACATGTTTAATGAATCCTAAGTGTGCCACGTTAGTTTTTTTAAATTAAAAAAGTTGAAAAATATTTTCAAGGTCATTTTTTTAAATGCAAACTTGGGAGGTCTGGGGAGTTAAATTTCCGCCCATGCTCAACTTCATAATTTCCTCCATGTAAACTGCAGATTTGGTAACTTCTCTCTTGATGAAACCCTTTATTTATTCGATTACATGATTCATATGCACCCCACTCCTCCTATCTCATCATTCCGTGTTTTCTTTTTTGCACTTGCTAAGATAAAACATTTTGATCAACTCCTTTTGCTTGTTTTTGGGAGTATTTTTAGGAGGGGTTTTTATCCAGATGCTATGACTTTTAATTGTCTCATTAATGGTCTTTGTATGGAGGGTAATATTAAGAAGGCGATTGAATTGCGTTGGGTTCTCTTGGTTGTACGCCTGATGTAATTACATCTAGGGCTTTGATTACGGGGTTGTGTCGAACAGGCAATATCATTGTTGCCCTTCAGTTATTTGAAGAAATGCTTCGTGGGAAGGGTGAGTTTGGTGTCACTTATAAGCCTAGTATTGTTACTTGCAATAGTATTATTGATGGTCTTTGCAAATATGGGTTAATAGACAAGGCAAAAGAACTATTTTTAGAAATAAAGGCTAGGGGCATTAACCCAGACGTGGTTACTTACACCTCTCTAATTTGTGGTTTGTGTAATACATGTAACAGGGAGGAGGCTAAAACTTTGTTTATGGAGATGTTGGATGAAGGTGTACAACCTAATGTAGAAAAATTTAATGTGGTAATGGATGAACTTTGTAAGAATGGGAAGAGACGAAGCCAATAGATTGCTCCAACCGATGATTAATAGAGGTGTTCATCCCAACACAATTACTTATTCCACAATTTTGAGCGGTTATTGCTTGGAAGGTAGAATTGACGATGCAAGAAAGCTATTTGATTCTATGGCAAGTAAGGGGTGTAAGCCTGATGCTGTTAGCTACAATATTTTGATGGATGGTTTTTGCTTGGCAAATAAAATTGATGATGCTAAAGAGTTGTTTTATTCGATGATTAAGAAAGGATGCATGCCTAATGAAGTTAACTACAATACTCTGATCAATTGGTATTGCAAGAATAAAAAAGTTGATGAAAGTATGAGTCTTTACATGGAAATGACTTCAAAGGGAGTTGGGCCAACAATTGTTACTTATAACACCTTGTTGACTGGCCTTATGCAAGGAAACTACTTGATGAGATGCAATGCAATAATGTTCCTCCCAATTTAATTACGTATAATATTCTCATTGATGGATTTTGCAGAAATGGTTGTGTTTTGGAGGCTGTTGAACTGTTTCATACTTTAAAAAATGGAAACACTCAACCTGACACCAGAAGTTTCAATTGTCTCATTGATGGGTTATGCAAAAAAGGGAGACTCAAAATTGCTTGGGAACTGTTTCACAGATTGCCAAAAAAAGGCTTTGTTCCAAATGTTGTGACATATAACATTATGATGCATAGACTTTGTAAAGAAGGGCACTTAGAAATAGCAAGTAATTTGTTATCAGATATGGAGCAAAACGGTTGTGCTCCAGATGTAGTCATATTTAATACGCTTATGTCTGGTTTCTTGCGGAATAATGAGACTTCCAAAGTGGTTGAACTTCTTCACAAAATGAATGAGAGATATCTGAAGCCAGATGCATCCATAGCTTGTAGATTTACTGGGAAAGGATGAAAATTATCACGAATTCTTGAAGTTGCTTCCGTCATTCTCTACCCAGGAACCAACAAGATGTTGATTGTCGAGTAAATGTATTTCTAGGGGAGTACAACTTTTGATGAGAGCCTTGCCAGATGTCAAAGTTTCCATGTAAAGGTGTGTGCCATCATAATAGTGGTAATTATATTTATATGAATCCTTTAGTGAAGAAGTTTACTAAAAGCCTGATGGGATAAATTAAATCGTGTCGTTTTATTGGATGCAATCCACATTTCAGTCCTGGTCCCAAAGTAGTTTTATTTTATGTATAATTTATTCACGTAAAGCAATTAACAAATCCTGGTTCCAAATAAAATATTATTGTATAATAATTACACAATATGAGAATAAAATTTGTGTATATGTGCAAATGCTTGGGTTGTTTCAATCTAACCATAAAAGTTTTAGAATATCTTCTTTATTCTTTGGGGTGATTGAACATGAAGTCTTGTAAAAGATATTTCAGATTTTTGAACATTTTTAGAAGGATTTCTTGTTTTCGTTTTCTCCATGGAGGAGTGTTAAATGTTAGGGGTAAATGATACCAAGGGCATTTTTGTCCAAAAATCTTGTCCGAGGTCTTTGTTACTAAAACATATAGAAGCGGATCATTTTTAATTTCAGCCTTTAAAAAATGGTCGTTTAAGTTATTTTCTCTTAAAAATCACCTCTATTGAGATGGGGATGGGGGTCTTAATTTGAGGAATTGAATGGGTTTAGGGCCAAATTAAATCCCTATATTTTAGTAATCCCTAGTGTTTTGAAAACCAGACCTGGCCTTGACCCGGTCAAGGTCTCGGTTCATGGTTTGATTGGTTAAACCGTCGGTTTAACAGGTTGTTCAAAAAGTTTGAAATCTTACAAAAATACTCTTGAAAAAATTTCAATCCCTACAGGTTTGAAATATAACAAATACACCCCTACAATTTGCTTGAGTTTTGACTTTTCTGGCCAAATTTTGGCTGATTCCGGTGGTCGAAATTCAATCTAACACCACCACTTGAACCGCTGTCCTCCATTCTAGAAAACCCCTCTAACCTCGAAACTTGGTAGCCCCCCGTTTGTTAGTCGTGACTCACGAACATTGCTACAATTGGGTTGATTTTTTCGATCAAATTTCGGCTTATTCCGGTGTCCAAAATTCAATCAAACACCACCACCTAAATCATCGGTCTCCACTATACAAAACCCCTCTAACCTCGGCACTTGGTAGCTCCTTGTTTGCTGGCCGTGACTCCCATATTGAGTTGAATTTTTCGGCCAAATTTTAGCTTATTCCGACGTCCAAAATTCAATCTAACACTACCCCTTGAACCATTGGCCTACTCTACAAAAGTCCTCTAACCCCAGCATGGTAACCCTTTTTCGCTGGTGATCAAATTAGGGATTTGGGTGAACAGTAAAATTGAAATTTTGGACCAGAAAAGAGGTTGGTTGATGGTTAGACCGGTCCAGTCCGGTTTTTAGAACATTGATAATCCTCCTTGAGACCGCCTCATTCTCTATACTAAAGCTAAATATAAAATATATTTATTTTTTGAGAGATTATCCAGTAGGGTACAAACTTTTCATACTTTTGAAAATGGCTGGGCAAAAATTACAAATATCGTTTCATTTAGGGGCATCTAAGGGTTATTTGCCTTTTTTTTTTTTTTTTTGGCCCTTAACTTTAACATAAATCCTAAAAAACACTTACGTGCCCTTTAAGTGAATTTAGTTCTTATATTCCAAATTAAAAAAAAAAAAAAAACAATAACAATTTTTTTAAAGGAAATAAAAAAATATTAACAAATTTAAAATTAAAAGAAAATTTGATAAAAACTTTTTACATTAATTTTTTTTTACTTTTTACTTTTTACTTTTTTTGTATTTTTTAAAATTTTATAGTAATTTTAATTTATTTTTAAAATAGGAATAATTTAAATCTATAAAAAATTACTACTTTGCTCTTATATAAAGTTAAATCCACCCAAATTAATTGTTGGTTGTTCCTAGACTAAACAATTTGTAACTTATATGTGGCAATTGCAAAATCTTTAAAACTTTGTACCCTAAATGATAATATCCTTTATTTTTATAAAATGGATATTATGTATGAAGAAATGATACTAATTAGATTTAAATTAAATATTTATAAATAATATTAATATCAACTAAATAATAAAATGCCAGGAAAATTTGATAATATTATAACACATTGGAAATTACTTTACACTTTAGTTTTAATGTTTTAAAATTATATTAGTTATGACTTATTTTAGACGTCCTCGCCACTGAAGAGCCCTATGTCGTTTAGTTTGTTCTTTAGGCAATTAAAGAAAGTCTATAAACCATGATTACTTGGCTTTTAGCTATAAACCATGCTCATTAGATGTCTCAATATTCTTTTAATTGTCTTCCAATGAATTTTGCCTAAATTGACAAAACTTTATTAATACAATAAGATATCTAAAGCCTAGTCATACTAACATAATACAAACCACCAACCATACTTATGTAAAGAGCTTTCTAGTTGTAATAACATAATGCAAACCTCCAACTCTACTTATGTAAAGAGCTTTTTCAATAGTATAACAACCCATATGAGAAATTGGTGTACACATACTTAACATAGGGGCTGTAATTGGTGTACTTCAATGCCAAGGTAGAAAGAATAATACTATATCAACAACCCTTTCTCACAAACTTTCTCTCACAATGCTGACATGATAACTCATAATTGGTCAACTCGCAATTAATTAGCGGGACCCATGTGAGACCTGTTGTGAACTAACTTATTACGAGCTGCCACGTCAAGGTTGTGAGAGAGGGTTGTTGGTATAGTATTATTCGGGTAGAAATTGAGAGGATCAAAGTCCTTGAGAGTAAAAATGTGATTAAGGTTGGAGACTAGATAATATTATCAACGTAAACAAGAAAGTATATTCAAAAACTGAGAAGTGAGATTGAGAGATAGATCAGCATGAGATGAAAGAAATCCTACTCGATGAAGAGCTGCTTTCAGACTTCCGAACCAGGCATGTGATGCTTGTTTCAGGCATAAGCAAACTGATAAAGAAAATCTTAAAGTTGGGTTGAGGCAGGCTTATTTAGTGTTTCTTTATTGCATTTCTTGGCAAGACCGTGTTTGCTCACAACTTTAAAACTCCATTTCTGAGATAAATTGAACTTAAATACCAAAAGCAAAAGAGAAATCAGTGAATGCAGAAGATAATGGAAAATTCAATTGAAAGAATTTGGTTGCGGTACAAATATCTAAAGAAATTAACACACAATTCTCTTAACCGCTAACCAGTCGGATTTTAAAGGCAGTAGAAGAATGTTTTTCCCTTCCTGCTTTGTCATCAGCAAAGATTCAATGGATTGACAAAACAGGCTTGTATCTTTGATTTACTCATTTGGCAGTTGCTTTAACTGCTTTCTGAGCAGAATCGTCCAGATCTTCTACTGTTATTAGTGACAGACCACTTCCCTGCATTAAAATTGTCAAGTCATATCACTTTAGTTCATGAAGTTTCATATCAGATCAAATTTCTTGTTCAAAAGAGGTTTCCTATCAAATCAAATTCCAAATTTACCTAAAGTATTCTCTTTCCATGGTCAACGTTGGTGCCTTTGACATGAACTACCACTGGTTCTTTTAGGGCTACTTTGTATACAAGACCGAAGAAAAACGATGCTATTAGTATAATTCCTGTAGACAATTGCAATATTCAATGTTGGTCATCATCAACAAATTTTTTTGTTGTTCTATCCATTTTTATGTTATTGGTATAAATAGGTCATATTCTTTGATCCTTAAGTTAAAATCATTGAAAAAGTAGGACAAAAAGGTGAAATTTGTAAGCACTGCTACAGAATATGAGTAAATAACCGAAAGTAAAAATTCAAGTGCTAATAATAAGGGGAAGATAGTTTAAAGGATAGAACTGTTCCTGTTCACTAATGTGATCTGAACCTAAAACCTGTCTAGTATGATAGCAAGCATTTAAAATAACTTAATGCACTGCTCACCTCTTTGACAGTATTGACAATTCCACTTGCAATTACGTCACATTTCAAAAATACTCCAAATATGTTCACCAAAATTGCTTTAATTTTCTCAATGGAAGTTAATATTTTAAATGCCTCAACTACTTAATCCGGCACCATTCACTACGCACCCAATTTCACCATCTAAGCCTATGTAATACAGATCAATGACAATTGAGATGTAAAAAAGTTTATGCCCACTTCCAGTAATGTCCGGCCACACTTACAAAAGAGTTCAAACAATTTCCTCACTTGTTTAGTACCATCGTTTCTATTAGCGGCCTTGTGTAGATAATCCACATCAGAAGCGTATTGGGAATGTCTTGGGCTTATAAAGGGGGAAGTCCCTCCACCTAATAGGTTAGCTTTTTAGGTGTGAAACTCCTAGCCTGTGACAAGTGGTATTAGAGTGGACTCGATGCCCCTCCAAGCACCCACACGGGGGCATGTATGTATGATTGTGGGTCCACACAAGAGTGAGATGGATAAGTAGGCAGGGGCCCTCACCTGTGACGAGAGTGTCACAGGATTGGGTGGGAGAGAATGTAACGAATCCCACATCAGAACTGTATTGGAAATGTCTTGGGCTTATAAAAGGGGGAGTCCCTCCACCAAATAGGTTAGCCTTTTTGGGTGTGAAACTCCTAGTTTGTGACAAGTCAAGCATCCACGCGGGGGCATCCACATGTGATTACGGGTCCACACGAGAGTGAGGTGGATGGGTAGGCAGGGGGCCCTACTTGTGACGAGGGTGTCACAGGATTTGGGTAGGGGAGAATGTAATGAATCCTAAATCGGAAGTGTATGGGGAGGTCTTGAGCTTATCCGCCGTGGGGGGGGGTGGGGGGGTGGGGGGGGGTTGTTGGGGGAGGGTGTTGTAATAACTGCTGTATACTAATAAAATACAGTACAATAATAAAAGTAAATGGGCCCAAAAATTTTCT